TGTCGAATTTGGCCTGTGACGAATATTCAGGCCCGCCTTCACTTAGGGCGGGCACTTGGCTTGCTGGGGCCTTGGCCCAGAACAATGTGATGTCTGATAGGGCCACTTGAGGGCTTGTTTCTCACTTTTTTTTTTTTTTCTTTTTTTTTTTTTTGGCCCGGCCGGGCAAGTGACCCCGGGCCACTCTGGTAGCCTAGATAATGACCAAAAAAAGGCCTGAAATGCCATCCTGTCCAGATTCGACACATAATTGAATTTGCTGGGCTTAAAGAATTAGCCTTAAAATAAAATAAAAAAAAAGGAAGAAAAGAAAAGGGAAAAGTTGCTTTGCTTACCATTCGCCACTGGTCTTTTTTCTCTTGTTTTATTATTACCAATTCCCAAGTGCTTGCATAATGAAAGGAATCCTAACTAAAAAAAAAAAAAAGAATCCTAACAAGGAGGGAGGGGGCTGCTTGAGATGAGGTTTTGGTGTGGGGGATCAAAATCTGAAAACACACCCGCGTGGTCGTGTTCCTTGCCCTGGTGGCAGAATTGAACAGGTCCCATCTAGGGCTGATGATAAGCAAGTCATGAGTTCGAAAGCACAGAGGAGGGGGAGGGGAAATCAATCTGGAAACAAATATGAGTGGTGGTGTTCCTTGCCCTAATGGCAGAATAGAACAGGTCACATCTAGGGTTGACGAAAATCAACTCGGGAGTTCAAAACCGCAGAGGACAAAACAGTATGAAGTTACTATGAACCTAGCAGTACTACTGTGGAGGTGGTCTTCAGATTGTAGGGGGTTCAACCTGCTGAGGATCCTGAGGACTGCTGATGAGCCTGAACCGGTGAGGGTTAAATGAAAGTCGGTGTCACTAACCCTGTTTTCCGTTTTCATTTTGCACTCGTTTATGCTCGTGGTATGCCCAACATCACACCACTTCACAAGCATTGGGTTGAATTGCGCCTTTTGAAATTCTTCGTCAGGAGAACTTTTATTCTGTACATGGGACCACAGGCTTGGGGTGAAGCCTTAGAGCTAGGGGAAAAGGAAGGGGAGAGAGAGAGAGAGAGAGAGAGAGAGAGAGAGAGAGAGAGAGAGAGAGAGAGAGAGAGAGAGAGAGAGAGATGGTCTATATCAGGATTATGCCATTTCTCCCAAACAGGAGGGGGGAGTGATAATATGCGTATTCATGTCGAATACTTACAAAGGGTCAGTTCGGCAGAGTTCCCGATGGAGTCGTGGTTTATGAGGGTTACTACCACTGTCTCCTAATACATGAGGTGGGTGTATTCATCCCAAGTTTTAGGTCAGGTACATAGAAGATAACTCCGCGTTCTTCTAAGGTTTAGGGTTTGGGGTTGTCAGGTAAGGAGTTGGGGACCGCACTCTTGGCCTGGCACAGTCAGAGGAGGAGGAGGAGGTTTGATGCTCTCTGCACTGTTCTTCTCTACCTTTGTACTTGGTGGCAAATCCTTCTTGCCGTCTAATGCGGGAGCAGCAGGCGGGGGAGGAAGTGCTTGAGGAGCAGGAGGGGGGCGTTGCAAATGAGGACAATTGCAATTGTTCCTTGTGCTCTGAAGAGGGAGGTGCTGAAGTGATTGGCGTCGTGGGAGCTGGCCCGGCGCTGTTGGTCTGGGTGGAACGTCCACTGGAATTGGTGTCTCAACGCCTGTTATCACATTATAGCTAACAGCTCGAGCCCTTCGGTAGAGATTCTCCGCTCTCACAGCTGCGCGGTACCTTTCTTTACATATAGCAAATCAGCGAGGGACGAAAACACAGCACAAGCCACAGAACAGGTATACACACAGACCGAACAGATAGTTAAAATAAAATTAAAAAAACTACAAACCCAAAAAAATCAGATTCTATCTTTGTCAAAAGAACCCGACAGCCAAAGCGCAGATCATCATCATGTGAATATTTATTGTTGACATCATCTGTGAAAAGCAACGGACGGATGGAGCCCAGAATCATGATAAAGAATAATAACCGGTCGCGTGGTAGCCAATGTGTCACAATACGAGGCTGTGAGAAGAATTAGAGTAGGAAGAAGTAAATTACAGCTTAAACCACCGGTATGAAGAAGTAAATTACACCTTAAACCACCGGTACGAAGAAGTAAATTACAGCTTAAACCACCGGTAGTGAGAAGATATTTCTCTTCTTTTTTCATTTCCGCGCACACTCTGTCCGATCTATTCTGGGTGGGGGGTCAGCTTAAACCACGAGTACCTTTCCCAAATATTGGCCAGGGGCGCCGACTTGTGGAGGCCCGAAACGAAACGTGGGCCGCCGATTAAATTTATGAACGGCGCCCCGGTGGCGGTGAGGGGCCCATGTTAACTGTCGCGTACTTGTTTTTCAAGCAGGGAAAGGTACTGGCGGTTTCCACCACCAGCACGTCCAAGCCTTCTTTCCGATGCCGGTTTCTACTGCGGGCCAAGTGTTGCCGAACAGGCACGGTTGCAAACTTGTGTCGTTTTGCTTGGTGCTGCCAGCCTTTTCTGTTTGGTACACAGCCCCCAGGGATGCGGTGTGTTAACCACCACCGAGTCCAAGCATGTCGTTTTTAAAAAGAACTGGAACAATGTCCACATCTCTTTCTTCCAATCATACACCCAGGTTTCCATTTCCCTCCCAATCACCATCATACAATATCATCAACCTATCATCCACGGCCAGTTAGATCTTTATTTCATGCACATGCGAAACTCGGAATTTGATATTACTCTGACACTTACTAGCCAGAACTGTCTTCAAACACAGTATGCACCCTCGTTTTCAGGGGATAGGGGTGTCACACTTGACGTGCGAGGTCTAGAAACCCGTACTGTGGTGTAGGTTGGCACTCTCTAGCTTCACATTAGCACCACAGGCCATTGGAAATGTGGATATACATCAATAACATAGGAAGATTTGTCGTAGTCTTATACTACTTTGAAAACTTCGATAAAGTTCTCTCTGCTTCGATGAATAACTTATTACACTTTGCATTCTCATTTTGCACATTTGTCAATAGTGGAATAAGGCCCATGGTGAACATAATTTCAGGAAAGTAGGCCAACAAAGATGGTTAAGAAGGCGAACCATTGTCCTTTGCACATCTGTTGAAATTGGAACGATACAGAGAAGATTAACATGGTCCCTATGCAAGGATGACACACATAAATTGAGGAATGGTCCCCCCCCTCCAAAAAAAAAGGTTTATTACACTTTGCATATATTTTAGACTACCAACTTGAGACTGTGAAGATCTGAGGTGCTTAATAAGTAACCAATTACATTTCATTCAAATTAATTGAGCTTTCTTTACATTTTTGACGCCTTTCTTGTAAACATTGCCAATGCAGTGGGCCCTGGTAGAATATGTACATAATTTTGGTTTACTACGGATGTAGTTGTAATCTGCATTTGTTACATTTTTTGGGGGGCACGTACTTTCAAATTGCGCCCCATGTTCAGAAAGGGCAACCTTAGCATGGACCCTGTGCAAGGATGACACACATAAATTGAGGAATGGTTCCCCCCCCCCCAAAAAAAAGGCTTATTACACTTCGCATAAATTTTAGACTACCAACTTGAGACTGTGAAGATATGAGGTGCTTAATAAGTAACCTATTACATTTAATTGAACTTTCTTTATGTTTTTGACGCCTTTCTTGTAAACATTGTCAATGCAGGGGGCCCTGGTAGAATACGTACATAATTCTGGTTTACTACGGATGTAGTTGTAATAGGCAGTTGTCATATTTTTTGGGGGCAAGTACTTTCAAGTCACGCCCCATGTTCAAAATAGGCAACCTTAGCAATTCTCAAAAAATGGAAAAAAAGGCAACCCTAAAACTGCATTCACTACAGCAGCTAATGGCTCACGGGGTTTTAAACCAGTGCTAAACTTTCACATTTTCAAAATCACAAACTGATTGCAATGCCACTTTGTCTTTTCTTGCCTATTTCAAACTAGAAGTGTGACACAACCACAATTTCCTCATTTTGTTTCTTTTTTTTCGGGTCCTCCTTATGAGACTCCCTCCCAACCTGTCTTTCTTGTCATTTATCTCGTCACACCCCTACTCCCATAGTCCTACCTCGATGTTTACCACTCAGTACTAAAACCCTTCTACCATCTTTGTGGGGGTGACCTGAACGAACAATGGTTGTAGGCACCAGGGCTGAGTTGGCAGCCCTAAAAACCCTGCTCAGCCCCGATTGAAGCAAAGTCGGACGAGCCCTGTCATCCAGACACTTCTAGGAATAGGTATTCTTTACGACTCCCGTAAGTGAACCCTTCTTGTCCCCCGAACTTACCCGGCCTCCCCAGTGTATGAACCTAGATATACACCCTAGAATCCTAGATATCATAGGCAGTGTCCAAGGTCTAACCCATCAGATGTTGTGAGTAACCTGCGTATACCTACGTAGCATAACTATGATTGATTATTATGGTTGTGTTATCCGTTGTGTATACAATCGTTGTTGTAATTGCGACTGAGAAATTCTAGCTGATTATCAGTATATGTACAACCATCATCCGCCCCTCTAACCCTCTCTTGTCACTTTTTTGTGGTTGTACTATTGTTGGATTAATCGTTATTGGTTGTACATAATCTAGAGATACCAATGACAGGGGTTCGGTAAGTCGAGTTTGCTCATTCTTTCAACCTGACCATCGGGTTTGGTAGTTGTACATGAGGATATGGTAAGTCGAGTGCCATATATTGACATAAACTTTACACTTATCGTTGTCGATATTTCTTTGAAATGATAAACTTAAAAAATCCTTGCCAGTAAGCGTAGAAAAATTAAAAATTTTGGAAATCCTTATCTAGAAGACTCATACATTTGAAAATTTTGAATAATCATATTAAAAAATAATTTTGCAGCAAAAACAATCAACTTCTAATGTATGGGGACCATGACCATTAAATATTTGATTGCTACTCCGCATCAAATCTATAAAATATATGAAAATATGTTTTGCAAGCCTTAATGAAAGCGACAAGTTTGTTGCATAGGTAGATAAGGGAAAGTTTATACATTTGTAATTATACATTCTTTAAAGTTCTTTCAACCTTTGCCGTATAAGTGATTTGAGTGAATTGAGCGTGCCAACTGCAACTCGAACCTTTGGTGTTATAAAGTTTTTTTTGGAGTAGTCGTTTTGTAGATTCTTTGTTATATATACATAATTTGATTTGTTATTTATGAGCATTGATTTCTCAAAAAATTTGCTGATAGATTATTTTATATATAGTTTCAATTCTTAAAATAATGTTTTTCTTTTTCTTTTCTCAATTATTTGCTAGTGTTTAGGGGAATTGAGGTTGCTCTAAAATTGTCATATACCTAAAAAAAAACATATGAAACAATGTTAAACAACTTAGAATTCCCTTTGATAGTTTTAATTCAAAGTCATACAGATTAATAACTACCACTTGCTACCTTTGAACAAATTTGGTTTGAGTCATTAGTTATCATCCGGTCTCATGACCAAACCTCAAGACGTATATTCACCTAATAAGTAACATTTCCATGTAAGCAAGGATTCATACAATTGGTAAATTTGTTTTCAACATACGTGTAGGCACGTTTTTTTCATAAAATCTCTCACACATAAATTTGATTGGTTTATAATAAGTTTTCTCATATTTTTGTATCAAAATCCTTATCCCATGTCAATTTTACAAAAAACAGTAGGAGAGCGGTTTACAATCTTCAAGTTTATGTGATGCGGTTGAGTATTCTTCAACCTCCTGAAACTAATATTTTTTTTAGCTTTTTTTTTTTTTTTTTTTTTTTACTTAACTATTAATGCCCGCATCTTTTGGGGCCCCCTATCAAATTAAAAGCTTGTTGGCGCCAACAAAAAATAAATAAAAAATTGTGCCCCGACTGGTTGCATGTATGACAAAAATTGTGATGGGTAAAAATAGGTTCGAAAGTACTCGTGGTTTAAAACGCTAATTCACAATCTTTATTGCAACAAGTGGATCCCGGAGCAGGGAGGAATGGGAGAGGGCGACGAGGAAGGGAGGGGTGGAGGCAAGCAAAGGTGTTTTTCGGGCCTGAAAAGAGCACCTTCCATGAGAGGAGGGTGGCTCTGCCACAAGAAGTGTTTCTAGCTAGCTCATGAAGAGCTAGGGTGGCGGCCCTAGCAAAAAAAACACATCTAGGGATCCAACGGTTGCAAGACTTACGATGCTTATCTCTGGATGTCGCGGTAACGCCTCTATGGCTTACAATGTTCAACTCAGGATTTTATTTTATTGTAATGCTTATTGATTGTTGTATGGCTACACGAGCAAGTTCATTGCGAGTGAAGTTCATACAACTTGTTTCTTACCCACAGCCAAGTCGTTTCACCACAATTGTCTCCTAACTGTTCTTACTTCTTGTAGCTATTTTGAAGCGCTTTCACCAATTTGAAATGTTTCACCCAGTAGACCCGACATTTGCAGACACAGAGATTCGATCCCTAGACCTGTGCCCAAACCCTGTACATTGACCCTATGTGCTGAGTGAGATTCGATCCCTAGACCTACCCTGTACCCTGTACATAGGCCCAACGATCTGTGTGAGACTCGATCCCTAGGTCTGTAGATTAGNCTGAGTGAGATTCGATCCCTAGACCTACCCTGTACCCTGTACATAGGCCCAACGATCTGTGTGAGACTCGATCCCTAGGTCTGTAGATTAGGAGTAGGTTTGCTACTGTTAGGCTTAGGAAGGTTTGTTCTAGAAGTCTCTATCTGAGTTTACTAAGGCCTAGAGTCTGTCTGTAAGTTTGTAGGCTTTAGAAGGTCGTAGGCCCCTGTAGGCCAGTCCAGTCATCAAATACCAGGGGTAGGGGCTGCACGTGGGGAAGGTTCTGGAGCACGGTGTGGGTTTCACACGTTTTGGCCCAGAAGGCCAAATGTCTGGAAACTTCCCTGGGCCACACGTTTTGGCCTAGGTCCACATGTATTGAGGCAGGCCCGCGTACCTCCAAAGAGGTATAAATAAAGAGGCAACGTCTAGCCATTCATTCATTCGCCTGTGTGCCATGCGGAAGAGCTCCCTTCATATCTTGTGCGTGGAGGTTTGCAGGTGCCCGGAGAAGAAGTGGGTTGTGAAGAAGACAGCGGCCATAGCGAACCAGCGAGAGAGACACCGGTGGCCATAGCCAGGAGGAGGAAGATGACGGCGGTTATAGCCGCCCAACTGTTGGTGCAGACAGGGTGTACAGAGTGTGTGTGTCTGTGCAGCGTGGACATTCAGGGTGATCCTCGTATGTGCGTGCATGCGAGAGTGAGGGCGAGTGAAGCTGGTGGTAGAGACAGTGTTCGGCGGCCATAGCCGCAAGTTGTACAACTGTCCTCAACAAAGTTTAAGAGCAAGTTTGTTGTTGATTCGGAGTTCACGAGTTTGGTTTGCCATCGGTTCTCATGTGTGCATGTTGTGAGCAAGTCCAGAGTCGAGTCCGATTGCATTGGCATCAGAGCTGGTACCCGTTGTCCACGCCGGCGGAGCTGCAGCAAGCGAAGTAGAAGGAAGAAACCACCATAGCCGGAGCTCAGGAGAGAGAGAGAGAGACAACGAGAGAGAGAGAGAGGAAGAGAGAAAAGGGGGGACGACAGCCATAGCTGCCAGGCTCAGGAGAAAAGACGACCAGCAAGAAGAAGAGATAGACGCTGCGAAAAGGAATGAGAAAGTGACGAAGAGGGAGACAAAGTCAGCCATAGCCGAGGTGAAGAAGATGAAGGTTTTGACGAAGAAGAAGGTCCACCAGAGCTGGAAAGTTGGAGGGTTGACTAGAAGACTTGACCGATGTTGACCACCGGCGTTGACCGGGTGTTGACCAACATTGACTGAGAGTTGACCAAGGGCGTTGACCGAAGTTGACCAGGGCGCTGACCAGGAGCGTTGACTGACGAGTTGACCGAGACCGTTGACCGGAGCGTCGACCCAGCTGGAGCGAGAAGATTATTGGTACCATCCTTCCAAGCCCTGGCCTATTCCCTTACCCTGTGGATGTGCACCTTCACCCTGTTACCTGTTGACGTCAAGTCTGTTAGGGTCAGTCAGTCATATCTTCCCTTCACTTTTGTCTAGGTCTATAGGACTCCGTGGATGTGACTGTAGAGTCGTAAGTCCAACCCGAGTAGAGAGTACAAGCCCCCTAGAAACAGGTTAACCTGTACGGCCTATGTGTTGAGGCGCGAAATTGTTGTTAATTGTGCACCATCACCATGGTGGACCTCAGGTCTAGAACTAGCACCACCCCCTACAACAAGGAGCAAGAGGAGAGAGTTGTCGCTATTCTGCGAGAGAGGAAGGAGAGAATGGAGAGGAGAGAGTTGATCAAGCAGGCCAAGATGCTGGCCTTGCTGGAGGAGCAAGAGGCAAAGAAGAGGCAGATGGAGGTGGAGCTGAAGAAATGGACGGAGGAGCAGGAGGAGAAGATGGCGGCTATACAAGCGAAGGTGGAGAAAGAAGAAAACGAAAAGCAAGTGGAAGAAGTACCGCTGGAAAGGAGAAGAGTTGAAGCCAGTACGAGGAAGGAGCAGGAGATAGAGAAGACAACAAAAGAATGGACCACACACTTGGAGCTCGGGGAAGATAGGGAGGCAGAGCTGGCCATACCCCAAGAAGAGAGAGAGGCGGCGAGGAAAGAGTTAGAGGCAGAGAGGGACCCGATAAGGAGAAGAGCAAAGGAGGAAGAACAACAGAGGGCATGGAAGTGGCGTTTGTCCCAAGAGAAAGTTAGGCGTTTGGAGGCGGCGGAGCGAGCAGAAAGGGACCTGAAAGCGGTGGAAGCTAGGATGGGAAAGATCAGGGCTGAGACCGAGTTAGCTACTAAAGTTGATACCCCGACCCAAAGTGTGGAATCTCTACTAATTGCACATCGCGAGCAAACGCAGTACATCCGCAGTTTAGATGTAAAGATAGATGCGGTACGTGTTGGGTTTAAAGATTTTGCGCGCGACATAATGGAGTACCTGGTGGACCAGGTCCACCTGGCGATTAGTAAGGCTAAGGAATTCTGCACCGGCGCCATTGAAGGCGCCAAGTTAGCAGCTCCTAAGGAAGAGGAGCCAGCCCCACCACGCCGCGAGAAGGTCAAAGTCCGTTTCCCCGAACCCTTTAGTGGAAAGAAGGGAGAGGATTTCGATAATTGGGAGGCCAATGTGCACTCCTATCTGTATTTAGAGGGAGTCACGCCTGAAGACCACGTTTTGGTGGCCTTCCAAGCCCTTCGAGATGAGGCGACCAACTATGCTAGGACGCTCGCGCGCGCTGCAAATTGCGAAAACGATCTGGTCACCTATTCTAGACTGAAACCCCTCTCCGAGTTCCTGAATTCACTTAGGGAGCGATTCTCAGATGTGACGCGGGGGCTCAAAGCCTCCGACAAGCTCCAAATGATACACACTCGCTAGTGGAAGAGTTTGCATGTGCTTAAGTCCGCTATGGACAAATTGATTGCAGTCCCTGGGCATGGAGTAACCGATGCCCAACTTCTTAACCTCTTCTATCGTGCCCTCCCTTAGAACATCCAGGGGCATTTCTTTGAGAAAAAGAATCACTAGGGCATGACCTATGATACTCTCAGTCGGGAGGCAGTTGCATTTGTCGCCCAAGTGTCGCCAGTTATCACGTTCTGGCACAAGGATCTATCGAAGGGAAAACCAAGAAGGGACGCATCATCTCCGACCAAATTAACGCCAAAGATAGCTTGATTTTGGTGATGGAGGAAGGTGGTGCTGACGAGGTTTCCTACGCTGACATTGAGTGGGGACTAGAGGAGGAAGATAGTAGTGTTGGTCAGGGGAGAGCCTACGCTGTTGTCGAGGCCAGAGGGAGGCCGCAAGGAGGAGGACAACGGTCCGACCAGAATGGTCGAGCCCCGGATGGCCGAGGACAGGGCAGCCAAGGGGTTGGCGGCAACGGCAACCGCCAAGCGGGAGGAAGGGGAGGTCCCCCGTCTAACCGTTCGCGTTTTAGTTAGTCACCCCCCAGACAGGGATTGTGGCACCCAGGCCGGCCTGAGGGCCGAACTTGGGAAGATATGTGTATAGAGGAGGAAGTATGGCGAGAACGCATTAAGAATTCACAGTGCGTGTTCTGCGGGTACCCAGACCACATCATAAAGTTTTGTCCAAAGTATAGGAACCGTGTTGCGACTGGGGCAGCAAAAGACAGTCGCCGGTAGGGGTCGCAACTGCCCCTAACCCAGGAGTATGTGGATTTGAGCGTTCGCGCGAAGTAGAGTCTCCCACTCCACATATCTCCACGACAGAGGTTGCAGGCCGGCGTCTAGTAGGCTGTCCAGAGACTGCTTGTGTTAGGGTCTCTCTAGACGTTTCCCTCACAGGCTTAGCTGAAGAGTTGAGAGAGAGGAGGCAAGCCTGAACCAAGATGAAGAAGGATAGTAAAGGACATCTTATCCTCGTAGACATAGAGATATTAGAACTAGAGTAGGAGCCCTGATAGACAAAGCGCTGAAGAAGTTGAAGCTAAATCTAAAAGTCCAACGATTAGAAGAACCTGTAGTTAGAATCCTCGCAGACAATAGCAGGATGCGTGTTGAAGAATATGTTGAGGGGGTCCACGCCTACTTTCGCCTCGAGAAAGATGGAAAGGTAGAGAAAGTATTGCACTCCTTGACCCTCCTCGTGGAAGAGAGTCTCCCTTTTGACATTGTATTAGGCACAAATTGGGGAGAGGCAGCAGGAGCCACTTTGCACCATAGAGAGCACGAGTGCAGGCTCCCTAGTCCGTCAGGCGAAGTCAAGCAAGTCCGCCTATACCATGAGTCTAGGGTAGATAACCCCCTTGCCCATTGCTGCCTCAGCGCTCCTGCATTCGCCAGACTCGTGCGAAAGGAGCAGCTCGAAGAGCAAGTGTTTGTAGCCTATGTTAGGCCGATTTTTGACCAGCCAAAGGAAGAGGAAAAGATTCATCCTACTATCGCCAGTTTGCTGGAAGAGTACAAGGATTTATCTGAAGCACCTTCAAGAGTAGTGCCCAGACCAATCCAACACCGTATAGAGATAGAACCTGGCAAAAAAACGCCTAACTTAAAGGGAGCAGTCTACAGGATGTCTCCCAAGGAGTTAGAGGAGCTCCGCAAACACTTAGATGAGCTCCTAGAAAAAGGGTGGATCAGGCCTAGTTCGTCACCGTTTGGCGCACCAGTTTTGTTTGTCCCAATGGCGGGAGAGTTGCACATGTGTAACGACTACAGGGGACTGAACGCCATCACAATCAAGAATGCAGAGCCATTACCGCGAATAGATGACTTGTTAGATCGAGTGGCTTGGGAACGATCGGGTGGTGCCATTAACTTCGGATGGTGAGCAAATTTGTCTTCATTGTGTGGTGGCTATGTCTACTTCGATTGTGCATGTGTGTGACCGGGTACACCGAATCACGGGGAAAAACGAGTACCCATGTTGGGGTGGGGTTAAGTGCTCATCTTGGGGCTTAACTTTCACCCCGGTCCACTTTACCGTTTGGTTGAGTGTTTGCCT